TCTGTATAGCTCAAGGGATATGATGATCAGGTAATTTAGAGGAAATGCATTTCACCTCAACAGAAGTAAAAATGTCTAATGATCAGTGTTGTCTAATCAAGAAACAGGTGCCTTAGGAAGTAAAAAACACTCGATCATTAGGGCTATGCAGGCAGTACGTGGAAGATTATCTCTTATAGACTGTAGGAAGGCAATTCTCTTGCTGGGTAGTAAACTGGAAAGATGACTTCCAAAGCTTTTTCATGTCTATAACTTCACAAAGCCTTCTAGTAGGTTAGTGGGTTTTTGGCTACAACTAAAAATGAAATAAAGAAATGGAAAATAAAGGAACCAACCTACAAGCCTGTAGTCCCATTTAGTATACGCAGCATAATCTTAAATCAGCAGAACTTCTTCCTTTTATGAGCCGGAAAACATGGTTCAGAATATCAAAACTGTCAAGAAATGAGCCCTGAAAAACCATGTCTGCTTGGTCACTGTCTTTTTTATTCTTCCTGGTGTATAAAAAGAGAGATTCTTAATGAAGTTTATTGTAGTTGTTTCTAATACTATATCACCTTAAACTTGAAAAATTTACAAACAGGCTATAGGTGACTGTATTTGTATACTAACTAAACACTTATTTAATGAAAATAATATTTTGTTCTGCAATAACTGTGATTCAAAAGTATACCAGAATAGCAATGTGCAGGAACAATGCGTAAGGCAGCGACTGGCAAGTGATAACAGAGAAAGATGACCAAGGGCATGTAAAAATCTGACATCTTGAAATATTTTTCTTTACTAACTTTGGTTTGGTTTAATTATCAGTTCAGTTCAATTATTCAGTCTTTTCCAACTCTTTGCAATCCCATGAATCGCAGCACGCCAGGCCTCCCTGTCCACCAACTCCTGGAGTTTACCCAAAACCATGTCCATCAAGTCGGTGATGCCATCCAGCCATCTTATCCTCTGTCGTCCCCTTCTCCTCCTGCCCCCAATCCTTCCCAGCATCAGGGTCTTTTCCAATGAGTCAGCTCTGTGCATGAGGTGGCCAAAGTATTGGAGTTTCAGCTTGAACATCAGTCCTTCCAATGAACACCCAGGACTGATCTCCTTTAGGATGAACTGATTGGATCTCCTTGCAGTCCAAGGGACTCTCAAGAGTCTTCTCCAACACCACAGTTCAAAAGCATCAAGTCTTCAGCACTCAGCTTTCTTTGTAGTCCAACTCTCCCATCCATAGATGACTACTGGAAAAACCATAGCCTTGACTAGATGGACCTTGGTTGACAAAGTAATGTCTCCGCATTTAAATACGCTATCTAGGTTGGTCATAACTTTCCTTTCAAGGAGTAAGCGTCTTTTAATTTCATGGCTGCAATCACTGTCTGCAGTGATTTTGGAGCCCAGAAAAATAAAGTCAGCCACTGTTTCCCCGTCTATTTCCCATGAAGTGATGGGACCAGATGCCATGATCTTAGTTTTCTGAATGTTGAGCTTTAAGCCAACTTTTTACTCTCCTCCTTCACTTTCATTAAGAGGCTTTTTAGTTTCTCTTCACTTTCTGCCATAAGGGTGGTGTCATCTGTATATCTGAGGTTATTGATATTTCTCCCGGCAGTCTTGATTCCAGCTTGTGCTTCTTCCAGCCCAGCGTTTCACATGGTGTACTCTGCATATAAGTTAAATAAGCAGGGTGACAATATACAGCCTTGATGTACTCCTTTTCCTATTTGGAACCAGTCTGTTGTTCCATGTCCAGTTCTAACTATTACTTATCAACCTACATAAAGGTTTCTCAACAGGCAGATCATGTGGTCTGGTATTCCCATCTCTTGAAGAATTTTCCAGTTTGTTGTGATCCACACAGTCAAAGGCTTTTGGCATAGCCAATAATGCAGAAATAGATGTTTTTCTGGAACTCTCTTGCTTTTTCGCTGATCCAGCGGATGTTGACAATTTGATCTCTGGTTCCTCTGTCTTTTCTAAAACCAGCTTGAACATCTGGAAGTTCTTGGTTCACGTATTGCTGAAGCCTGGCTTTCAGAATTTTGAGCATTACTTTACTAGCGTGTGAGATGAGTGCAATTGTGCAGTAGTTTGAGCATTCTTTGGGATTACCTCTCTTAGGGATTGGAATGAAAACTGACCTTTGTAGTCCTATGGCCACTGCTGAGTTTTCCAAATTTGCTGACATATTGTGTGCAGCACTTTCACAGCATCATCTTTCAGGATTTGAAATAGCTCAACTGGAATTCCATCACCTCCACTAGCTTTGTTCGTAGTGATACTTCCTAAGGCCCACTTGGCTTCACATTCCAGGATGTCTGGCTCTAGGTGAGTGATCACACTATTGTGATTATCTGGGTCGTGAAGATCTTTTTTGTATAGTTCTGTGTTTTCTTGCCACCTCTTCTTAATATCTTCTGCTTCTGTTAGGGCCATACCATTTCTGTCCTTTATCGAACCCATCTTTGCATGAAATGTTCCCTTGGTATCTTTCATTTTCCTGAAGAGATCTCTTGTCCTTCCTGTTCTACTGTTTTCCTCTATTTCTTTGCATTGATCCCTGAGGAAGGCTTTCTTATCTCTCCTTGCTATTCTTTGGAACTCTGCATTCAAATGGGTATATCTTTCCTTTTCTCCTTTGCTTTTCACTTCTCTTCTTTTCACAGCTCTTTGTAAGGCCTCCTCAGACAGCCATTGTGCTTTTTTGCATTTCTTTTTCTTGGGGATGGTCTTGATCCCTGTCTCCTGTACAATGTCACAAACGTCTATCCATTGTTCATCAGGCACTCTGTCTATCAGATCTAGTCCCTTAAATCTACCTCTCACTTCCACTGTATAAGGGATCTGATTTAGGTCATACCTGAATGGTCTAGTGCTTTTCTCTACTTTCTTCAATTTAAGTCTGAATTTGGCAATAAGGAGTTCATGATCCGAGCCACAGTCAGCTCCTGGTCTTGTTTTTGTTCACTGTATAGAGCTTCTCCATCTTTGGCTGCAAAGAATATAATCAATCTGATTTTGGTGTTGACCATCTGGTGATGTCCATGTGTAGAATCTTCTCTTGTGTTGTTGGAAGAGGGTGTTTTTTCTATGACCAGTGCATTCTCTTGGCAAAACTCTATTAGCCTTTGCCCTGCTTCATTCCATACTCCAACGCCAAATTTGCCTGTTGCTCCAGGTGTTTCCTGACTTCCTACTTTTGCATTCCAGCCCCCTATAATGAAAAGGACATCTATTTTGAGTGTTAGTTCTAAAAGGTCTTGTAGGTCTTCATAGAACCATTCAACTTCAGCTTCTTCAGCGTTACTGGTTGGGGCATAGGCTTGGATTACTGTGATACTGAATGGTTTGCCTTGGAAACGAACAGAGATCATTCTGTCATTTTTGAGACTGCATCCAAGTACTGCATTTCGGACTCTTTTGTTGACCATGATGGCTACTCCAATTCTTCTAAGGGATTCCTGCCCACAGTAGTATATATAATGGTCATCTGAGTTAAATTCACCCATTCCAGTCCATCTTAGTTAGCTGATTCTTAGAATGTCAACATTCACTCTTGCCATCTCCTGTTTAGTTATAGCAGAAAATTATTTTATAGCTTATTTAAATGGAAATAAATAGAAATTTGCATCTTAATTCCTTTTTAGAAAATACATTCTTTTTAGTTTGAAAATTGCTACCTACCTTGAACAGTTTCACCTATTATAAGCTCATCTTTATAAAACACTTGATAATTTTTTACTCACTGCACACCATATAAGGAGGGACCAGTGCTTTTGTATTGAAATTCAATCATAGATCTACCTACAGCCATTTAGTTCTAACACATTTTGAAGGATAAAATATTTCCTTACCAGAAGTCTTTAACATGTCCTAAAGACTTTTGTTTTGTTGTGTTTCCTGTTTAAACATACAAACCAATAAACTAAATAATTTATTTAGCCCTCAAACACCCACACACCCAAGTGAATTGAAAGCACCAAGTTTAGATCCCCTGTCTCTTCCTTTTGGTATTTTTTTTTTTTTTTTTTTTTGGTTTACAAAATAGCAAAGAGATAAATGAGGCCAGATTCACAATTTTCCAAAACATTATGAGGTGGCTGTTTTTGCTGAAAGAAAATTGACTTCTGCTTTCATGGTTTTGTTTCTGTTACTATAAATCTTCACATTGCTTTCTTCTAATAATGCCACAGCAATTAAAGTGAGGTGATGTGTAATTTCTGTAACACAGTTTTTCTAGCAAGGGTGTGAAAGTATAGAATAATAATAAACTATCACTCATCAGTTTGTGTATGTGTGTGTGTTATCATTGGGGTAGCTGTTTGCATTCATCATTTTATAGTTACGTATAGTTAATACATCATGTCTTCTAACTAATAGCTAATATTTAATTAAGAAATTCAAACTCCAAAACATTGACATGAAACCTATAAAATCCTAATGAAAAATTCCATACTGAAGATTTTTATAAAAGTGCCTACCTGTATTTGCTGTTGCAGTTCCTTTTTGAAAGAAAAAACTCACACAGAAATCTAGAGTTACTCACACATAAATCTAACATAACCCTTCCTGGAATTTCATGTTCATTTCAACTTCAAAAGGAAACAAAGTAGGCATGGAAGTATAAAACACCAAAAAGATCTTATAGAGGAATTTATTTGTTATTTAAGTATCTGGTTAATACTGAAATACATTCAAAATGAGTTTTTACAATGAAATGTTTTTGTTTTATGTTTGAGATTGATATGCCTTTCTATATTAAACTTACCACACAAGTAAGGGAGAGGCACTAATGCTAGTGAGAATATTAATGTATGCTTGATTTAAGATGAGGAATAGAAAGGGGAGAGTCTACACTGCTAAAAACACTGATGGTTTCTTATTTGCAAAATCACCCTAAAAGTCATCAATGCTTTGTGGGAATTATTTTTAAGAATAGATTGTGTTTGACTTTTTCTTATATTGTTCCAAATATGATGAAAAAAATTATTCTGTTTTGCTTATTTCAGATTCTTATTTCAAAGAACTTCCAACTCTTCTCCACTGTGCAGCAAAATTTGGGTTAAAGAACTTGGCTGTTCATTTGCTTCAATGTTCAGGAGCAACCAGGGCATCTAAGATAAAAAATTCGGAAGGTTCAGATCCAGCACATATTGCTGAAAGGCATGGTCACGAAGAACTCAAGAAAATCTTTGAAGACTTTTCAGTAAGTTGTTTTTTTCCATTTTATCTCTAAAACTGTTTTTATAAAATTAGTGTGTGTTTGTACATGTACATTGCTCTTTTGACAGTGATGCTATTATATGGCTAGTTTGTAGGGTCTTTTGGTCCTGAGTCATTGGTTGTCTTAAGCGTTTTGCAAGATTAGTCCACTTGTTTTAATATTGCCATGAACCAGCTCTGATTCCATACTCCCACCCCTAAATAACCCTTTTTGAAACTTATCTGGCCTTTCTGGCTTCCAAATAACCTGTTCAGTATTGGAAAGGAGTTGATACAAAAGAAACAAAAACCTGTTACCTTTAGTCTTTTGTTCAAAAGTCTTAAGTAAGGCATTATTAGGCCCATGAAATGAGATAAATATTCATTAGGTTAAAGGAATACATTTTGATAACCATTCAAAAAGTCTCTCCAATAAAAAGCTAACTCATGTTGCTTAAGTTTCTTTCTGGTATGTGATTCCTTTTCTCTCTCTGTTAAGTCCCAGTTGCTTTTTTATATAACTTGAGCTTGAAGCCCCAAATTTTAGAACACCCTTTGAAGGATATTAGCTTTGTAAGAATGAAACCAAGGGACAATTCTTTTTGCAGTTTTTATTTTTATTTTATAATGGGAGGAAAATTGCTTTACAAGGTGTTGTGTTGGTTTATGCCATGCAGCAATGCGAATCACCACAGTTTTGCATATATCACCTCCCTCTTGAGCCTCCCGCCCCCAACCCCAGCCTACCCTTCTAGATCATCACAGAGCTCCAGGCTGGCTCCCTGTGTTATAGAGCAGTTTCCCACCAGCTATCTGTTCTGCACTTGACGGTGTATACATGTCTATGTTACTTTCTTCGTTCACAAGGGAGATTTTGAAAGAGAGGATACCACCTTAGTACATAAAACACACTTTGTGTTTCCATAGTCAAATTTAGAAAAGCAATTATTTTCTGTTTGTAACAAAGGTGTGCACGTTTTGCTTGAGAAAGTGAATTATAATACTTCTGATGGCTCTTAGGAAAATATAGTAGGCAATTACTGTGTTGGTGAATATGTCAAAATTTGTCTTTGGTTTCTCAAAAGATAAATAATTTTATTACCAGTGAACAGTTAATAGAGAACATTGAAATGCTTCTGGGCATTTTAGCATATATTCTAATTATTAGATTAAATCACTATAATATTGGACTAATGAAAATCATCAGTGTTTCTTATTTCCAGAGGACAAAATGATAACCAATCTAACTTTTTCCCCCACTTTTAAGAATAGCAAATGGTTATTGGAGAGTATTGGTATCATCCACTATCTGGAATTACAATAGGATATTTTTTGCTTGTAAAAGAATATAGAAATTAATACAAAAATACATACAGAAATTAATAAACTATTTTTTAATCTTATATGTTCTTCAAATGACGACATTTTTTTATTCCTGGAAAGGTTTTAGATAGTGATTGTCACATATCTGGAGAGTATAGTCATTTTAGTCATTATCCACTATGTATAGTCATTGACCAATGCAACATGCCAGGTAAGTCAATGAGTCAATTCAATTCAACCTTGTACATTGACACACAGTACTATTGTTCATTACATCCTGGGTACTCAATTCTACACAACTTTATTCTCAAAATTTTAACCACTGTTGGACTTAAAATTCCTCCTGAAAGTTTTCAGCATCCAGGGTTACTTTCTAAGATAAACTGACTTTCCAAGGGTAATGCATCCACTTCTGGTTCTCCAGTGAGGACTTGACTTTAACATATGCAGCTCCATGCACATTACACATGCTTCATAAATAATATGGTACTAAATAATAATAACAGTAGGTATGAAAGCTAGTATGAGGGTAGGATTCAGTGGATGTGGAAAATAAATTTTTCTCTCTCACATCCTCTGGGTATTTATACCTTTGCTTCTGCAATAATAGCATTGATATTTGATTGATATCATTGTCTTTAGGTGACTTAGTATTTACTCTTTCAATGTGGCTACATTCTAATTTTGCAGGGTTATGCTTGATAATTATTCTATTAAATTTGACAAACTCTTTTTTGTATTCTGTCTTTTTGTTAGTAGTTTGCATTTTGCCAGTATGTCTGTAGTAGACATTGCCATTATAGCTAGGATGGAGCAATTATTTTGCAAATGTATGTTTTGTTGTCGCTATAGCTGAAGGAAGTACCTATAGTTGTTGTAAGGGACAGCATTTTTATAAGCACATTTTATGGCTATGAATAGTTTTAGGTACAGTAATTTTGCAAGCTACCAAAGGTTCTTTTGTAAATGTGAGGTTAAGGAAATAGGAATGTATGAATTAGCTTGTGACATGCATGGTAAAGGGTGTTTCCTATTGATTTATTCTTCGAATATTCTTCTGATGACCAGTTTTATTTAAAATAAATCCAATAATCTTATCTGATTGTGGAAAGTATGTCAGATAAACACATGTTAAAATTTTATACTATAAATTATAATAGCTATGTCTTTTTAAGGGTATATCTAAACTTAATAGAGAAAATGTACAATCTATTTGCATTGCTAAAATGCTTTATTGTTTCTTTCATAATATTTATGCAGCTTTAATGTTATAATCACATTCTGATAGATCTCAGAGTTGTCACATAGGCATTCAAATGTTCCATGAGCTATTTTTCAGAATTGTTTAAAGAAATAGATAGTCTTTCAGTTTGAGGTTTATAATCCACCAATTGACCATACTTCTGCATTGCAGAAATATATATTTTTAAATTCAAACATACCCCCAACTGATTTACTGATTTCTTCAATTGTTCTTAATCCTCCATCAGTGAAACATTGTTCATTTTAGAATCTCAGAGTGTATTAAAACACAGTGAGTTTGGTCATAACTGAATAAAATTGGTAGAAGAAAAAAACAATCATGATTTTTAAAAATAAAAAAAAGAGAGACTCCTTAGCAAACATTCATAAACAAAGAAGTGTCATCCATATCTTAGTGTTAGCTAGATGAAGAAGAAGGAAGGAGGAAGCAGAGAAGAAGAGGCCTCAAGTCACTTTCCTGACATTTCTTCATGTCACTTTTTACTTTGAAAGGTTAATAATTTATACACAACCTATGAGCAGAGCCTTTCATTATTAATAGGTAGCTTAAAGAATCCTCCTGCCAATGCAGGAGATGCAGGTTTGATCCCTGGGTTGGCAAGATCCCCTGGAGACAGAAAGACAACCCTCTGCAGTATTTTTGCCGAGGAAATCCCATGGACAGAGGGGCCTGGCAGGCAGCAGTGCATGAGGGTCACAGAAAGAGTCGGACACGACTTGGCAACTAAAGAACAACAATGTGAGACTTGGCACTTCATGCTTTGACAGTTATCTAATTAACACCTACACTTGTTTTATGCTTTCAGTACTATTACAGATAAGAATACCATATATTTCTATAACCCATAAAGTCTTTTCAATAAACTACTCAATTTTCAGTTTCTAACAATGCCTTCTGAGATAATTAAGGTGAAAAGTGGATGGACAGAGGTAAAGGATTGGTATTTAAATTCACAATTGAGTGTGAACCACAGTTTGCTTCACAGGACTCTTGAGAAAATCTGACTCTTTCAGATATCAAGTAGCAACCCTGACAACTAATTCTATCCTCTAAAAACTTATCTTTTAGGTCAAAAATAACTGAAAACTTGAAACTAAACTGAAACTTGGCTGCAGATTGTGAGATACTTTGTGATTTCAGAGAAAATGCACAGCAAAAATTAGAATGTGCTTTAAGCAAAATAAGTGATATTTCTTTGTGTTATCCTCAGTATGTTGCCCTATTTATTCCCATCAGTTTAAACATTTCACAAAATGATTACATCGTGTATAGAGAAATACATCCTCCTCTGTGGGTTTGCTGTGGAATTGGAGAGGCAACAGATATTTGTTGTTGTTCAGTTGCTAAGTCATGTCTAACTCTTTGCGGCCCCAAGGACTGCAGCACCCCAGGCTTCCCTGTCCTTCACTATCTCCCAGAGCTTGCTCAAACTCATGCCCATTGAGTCGATGATGACATCCAACCATCTCATCTCTGTCACCCTCTTCTCCTCATGCCCTCAATCTTTCCCAGCACCAGGTTCTTTTCTAATGAGTTGGCTCTTCGCATCAGGTAGCCAAAGTTTTGGAACTTCAACTTCAGCATCAATCCTTCCAATGTATATTCAGAGTTGATTTCTTTTAGAATTGACTGGTTTGATCTCCTTGCTGCCCAAGGGACTCTCAAGAGTCTTCTCTACCACCACAATCTGAAAGCATCAATTCTTCAGTGCTCAGCCTTCTTTATGGTTCAACTCTCACAGCCATACAATATTCAGATAGCATCTTTTTTCTCCACCACAGTGTTCAATCATGTAGTTTGGTGCATATATAAATAAGATCTTACTGATACATCATGTTCATGAAAATTTCAGAAATGGAAAATCAGTTTTCCTTGCAGTTTCTCTAGTAGACTTTTCAGGAAGATTCCTAACTGAATGTTTCTCTTGCTCACATCCGTGATGGGATTCTTGTGACATCCTGCTCTCGTTGACATAGCCTGACACTGCTATTTACACTTGTGGACAGTGGACTAGTGTGGGTTAGTATGTCTGTGTGTGTGTGCACGTGCGCCAGAAAGAGAGAGAGATGAAGACTGATTCTGTTGCCCTTTACTGTCTGCCTGATAGACAGTAACTCTGATCCTTTTCAAATGGTCAAGGGTGTGAAATGAAAGTACATAAGAGGTAGATTTTGAAGTACCTGAAGTATCCATCCCTAATATAGCACAATGATTGACTGACTGCTGTAGGAAGGTAGGCTTTATGCCTAACCCAGGGAACATTCATTGCTTTTGGCCCATTATTTCTCTCAATTTTGATATCTTATAGACTGTTTTGTTCTCTAGTGGATTATTACATATAATTTAGCATACACTAGTATATACTAATTCCCTCTAAATGGCAGCATGCCCTGCTCTACTTATATAATTTTTCTTCC